AGAAGATTTGCATATAGGATCAAGGATGTCTTGCTGCAATTATACAGGGCATTGGTGAGACCACATCTGGTACATTGTGTGTAGTTTTTGTCTCCTTATCTGAGGGAGGATGTTCTTGCTGTAGAGGGAGTGCAGTGAAGGTTTATCGAATAAATTCCTGGGATGGCAGGACTGACGCATGAGGAGAGATTGAGTTGGTTAGGATTATACTCATAGGAGTTTAGAAGAATGATATGGGGATCTCATCGAAACCTATGAAATTCTCACAGGATTAGCCATGTTAGATGCATGAAGGATGTTCCCAATAGTGGGGTGTCCAGAACCAGGGGTCATAGGTTAAAAGGGGCAATTATTTTAGGACATGAAATGAGGAGAAATGTCTTTGCCCACAGAGTGGCGAGCCTGTGGGATTCACTGCCACAAGCATCGTTGTGGGTCAAGACATCATGTGTTTTCAAGAGGGAGGTAGATATAGCTTTTCTGCCTAAAGGATCAAGGGATATGGTGGGATTAGGGTATTGAGCTCGATGATCAGCCATGATTTATTGAATGGTAAAGCAAGCTAAAGGAGTCAAAAAGCTTACTCCTGCTCCTATCTTCTATGCTTCTATGTGTAACTACATCTAACCCGTCACGTCCTGTAGGAACTCTGTCAGCTTCAATCAGGTCACGTCTCATTCTTCGAAACTCTGGAGAGTACAGAGTTTCCTCAATCTTTCTTGTATAGATTCTCCAACATGGGGAAATGATTTCTCTGTGCTTACTGTGGCAAGGACTTCAGAAACCTGTATGCTTCAACACAACTATCGTTCTAAATTTGTTTTGTAAATTCCAGAGGAAATATGTGCAATTTCTTCTCAGACAGTAATAGAGTCGTACAGCATGGAAACAGACCCTTTGGTCCAACCAGTCCATGCCAAACATAATCCCAAACTAAACTAGTCCCACTAGCCTGCTCCGGCCTATATTCCTCCAAACCTTTCCTATTCAGGTACTTATCCAAATGTCTTTTATACGTTGTAACTGTGCCCACATCCACCACTTCCTCAGGAATTTCATTCCACACATGAATCACCCTCTGTGCAAAAAATTTGCCTCTCATGTCTTTTTAAATGTTCCTCCTCTCACCTTAAAAAATGTCCCCAGTCTTGAAATCCATCTTAGCACAACTCTCTCATCCCAGGGACCAATCTAGTAAGCCTTTCTACATTGTCTCCAGAGTGAGGGTCAACTTCCTAAAATATGGAGACTCAAACTGCACCAGCAGCCTGTTCTATTACAGCAACATTTATTTATTCTTGTACTCCAATCTTATTGCAATAATGACCAACAAGTCACCTGTCCTCTTAAATGCTTGCTGCATCTGCTTGCTAACCCTTCGGTTCTCACATAACTGTATGCAAGGCACACCAGCATTTAAATATTTTTCAAAATAAGGTATGAATTTTACGTTTTTTCTATTTTTACAACTCAAAGTGAATAATCTCATACCTCTCCATATTATCCATGTGTCAACTTCTTATCCAGTCTACAACAAAAACAGAAATTGCTGGTGAAACTCAGCAGGTCTGGTAGCATCAGTGAGGAGAAAGCAGAGTTAATGTTTCGAGTCTGAACTTCAGAAGGACTTGGAACATTAACTCTGGGTCTAGCAGCATCTATGGAGAGAAAGCAGAGTTAATGTTCCAAGTCCTTCTGAAGTTCAGACTTGGAATGTTAACTCTGCTTTCTCTCCATAGATGCTGCCAGACCCATCAGGTTTCTCCAGCAATTTCTGTTTTTGTTTCAGATCTCCTGTTCTTTGTTTTATTTTATGTAATCTGTCTACAGATCTTTGTAGCCTCTCTGCGTCCTCCTGAGAGACTAGTCCTTTGTATCATCAGCAAACTTGGCCAGATTACTTTCTGTCTCAGTCACTGATATAGTTTATCAATAACCAAGGCCCTTGCAGCACTTCACTGGTTACAGCCTACTGACTAGAAAATACCCATTTATCCCTACTGTCTGCTTTCTGTCCATTAACTTCTATAGATATTTTCTAATCAACCTGTTCTGAGATGTTACACATCTCTGCAGCACGTGGGACTTGAACCTGAACCTCCTGGTCCAAAGGCAGGGTCACTACCATTGTGCCCCAAGAGCCCTCTTTAACTTCTGTATACTACCCACAAAACCCCAAGGTCCTTGTGTTGTGTATTCATGCTCTGTGTGGTATCTGCAGTCTCAGGAATTACCTTTCTTTCCCTGATAAAAGTCCGTGCTATAAACAAAGGGGAAGGAGATTTTTAAGAAGCTGTAAAAATGAGGATTAAGTTTTGCTTTGTAGTAATGGGCCTGTTTAAAGGCTTGTAGGTTAATTCTGTTTTTCTCAGTCTTGAACTCATTATTAGGATAACAGGCTAGTTTCCTCTCTACACTAGACCAACCCAGGATTTGGAGTCACCCAACACCCAAAGACCTCTGAGATAGTAGGAACTGCAGATGCTGGACAATCCGAGACAACAAGGTGCAGGGCTGGATGAACACAGCAGGCCAAGCAGCATCATAGGAGCAGAGAGGCCCAAAGACCTCTTACTTGTTTGGGGAAAGGCAACACTATACCAGTTATTCCACAAACTTGCGCCAACATCAATAGACCTCATATTCCACAGAATGGTCAGCACGGTTAAGTCGAGTTCATATTTTTCTGTTGTTTCTGTCAGCATAGACATGGTGGGCCAACGGGCCTGTTTTCCTACTTTATGTCTCCATGACATTCTGTGTCAACTGCCTGCTCATCCTCTGGTATCAGTGAACCATCCTCAATTGTCACAGGTCAAATATTCCTTTTCACTGTCTAAATAAAGAATGTTTTGTATTTAATCTAAACTCTGGGTGTTGTTACCATTGACCAGAAACAGAACTGGACCTGCTATATAAATACTGAGGCTTTGCAAATAGATCAGTGGCTAGGAATCCTGCAGTGACTAACTTGTCTCCTGTCTCCCCAAAGCCTCTCCACTAAAGCACAAGTCAGGATTGTGATGGGATATTCCACACTTGCCTGCGTGAGTACAATTTGAACAGTACTCAAGGAGCTTGACACTATCCAGTACAATTAAACCATCAAAAGCTAGTTGATACCATTAATGACAAAGCAGCTCATTTGACAGGCACTCCATCCTCTACCTTCAATATTCACTCCCTTCATTACTGATGCCTAGTGGTAAAAGTATGAACCATCAACAAGATGCACTATGGCTTCTCCGACAGCAGCTTTCGAACGCATGACCTTTACCACTGAAGACAAGGGCAGCAGTTACATGGGAATGCCACCTTCTGTACATTTCCCCTTCCAAACCACTCACCATCCTGACTTGGAAATGTATCTCTCCTTTTGCTTTTGCTGGGCCAAAATCCTGGAACGCCCTCCCTCACAGCACTGTGGATCCCTACACCCCGAGGGCTGCGGCAATCCAAGTTCAAGAAGATAGCTCTACACCATCACCTCCAGGATAATTACAGATGGCCAATAAATGCTTACCCAGCCACTGATGCCCAAATCGCATGAACAAACATTTTTAAAACCTTGATAACAATGTTGAGAAAATTACAAATGCACAATCCTGTCAACAGGTGCCAGTACTGGGTACCTTAAACTTGTGTCCTGCTGTCAACTGTGTGATAGGATCACAATTTGCAAGTTATATCTAGGATCCTGTCTGAAACAAACAATGTTCACTTTGATCAATGTCACTGAAATATTTGTTTCTGCAGGCAGAGGGTACCAGTAAAATTACATGCCCATTAAACCAAATGTGAACAGAAGCGCAATATATTAACTTTATTCTCATAGTTTATGAGCCTACCAATGTCCTGTGGTTTACACCAATCATTGAAGGGAATTGATAGGTAGTGTTCTTTTGATTGATTACTTTCTAAATGATAAAATATATGAGAAACAATGGATGTCCAAAGATGTTTTGGGGTTCTTGCACATAGATGACTAGGGAAGGCTGTTTGTCATATTTCGAGGAGTGGATTATAATGGGATTGAAGTCATCTTACAGCAACACAAAGTCTTGGCTCATGTACACCTGGATTATTGTGTTCACTTCTGGACTTTAGAAAGACATAGTAGGGAAACTTCAGCATTTACTTACTAAAATTAAATCTGTTCTCCAAGGATCAGGTTAAGGGGAGGGGTTGTATTGTTTGGAATCTACAAGCTTATGGAGTGATTTGATCAAAATTTCCAAGATATTACAGGGAACAGAGAGACTTTGCTGTTTGAAGAGTCTAGAACTGAATAACAGTGTCCAAAAATGAGAGGCAGGCCTGTTGTATTCTAATCCTCGTGAAGCAACAAACAGCCTTCCCTAATAATCTGTTGCATGAGCCCCTAAATAACTTTGGACATCCACTGGTTCTTGCTTTTTATCATTTAGTAACTAATCAACCAAAAGAAAGCTACCTATCAGTTCCCTTCAATGACTGATGTAAACCACATGGCCTCGTTCGGCTCATCAACAAATAAAATTAGGAGTGAAATTAGGAACCATTTCTACACACACAAAGGTAGAGAGATTTGATATGTTGTTCTGCAAACAGCAGCTGGGGCTAAGTCAACTGGCCACTTTGAACAGAGATAGATAGATGTATTTTATCCCAAGGTATTAAATGGGAAATAGGACAATGCAGAGCATCGTAAACTAATCACAATCTCATTCAATAAGGGCTAAATAGCTTCCTTCAGTTTGGACAATCACAAGCTAAATGATTACACAGCAGTGGGCTTGGAAATAAAATTAAAAGGAAATGAAAGCAGATCTTGCTTTGAGAAAGAAAACAGCACAACTTTAGAGCTGGAGATTTTTCTGCCTAGTTTCGATACTGGAGGACTTGCTTTAAATCTCCACAGTGCACAGTTAAACTCAGCGCAGATGGCAAAAGCTGTGATCAACAATTTACACACTGGTGAGTCTATCAACTAACGTCCCCCCAGAAATGAAAGAACTTACCAGAACACGATCCCCACACCTCAAGTCCTTGTCCCCTTTCTTTACGGATCCACTGTCAGATAGGTTTGATCCTGACTCATTCCCCGTTTTCATAGAACTGTTCAAAATGCTTTCCCTCAGGGGGATTGCGCAGTTGATGCGTTGGGTTGATAGTGGCGGGGTGGCAGTACCATGCTGTGAGGCTGCGGCTGGAAATGTAACGGAGTCTCCGGAATGGGCATCACTTCCAGCGCCGTCACTCGAGGGGCGAAGTGCCAGCTTTGAGGGTCGGGTGAAAATGCCTTGTAAAGCTCCGCATTCAAAGTACCGCACGCCGCCGACTGACCCATCGTTTTTGCCCACAGGCTCATCGAGGACAACTCCTGCCCACTTTCCGGGAGCAAATTGGGTTTCCCCAAGGAACTGTATGATGCCAGGCTTCACACCATTCACCCAGATACGATCCCCGATGGCAAAATCGCCAATGCAGTCATCGCCCACCTCGGCACTCTTTGAGGGCAATTTGTCACTAGGTACAGGGACTGAAGCTTGCTTGTGCAACGGGGAACCTGAAAACCAACACAGTAAAAAAAAAAGATTAGTTTGAGGGACAAGCTAGTTCCATTTCAGAATTCATACGTGTATAGGTCAATAACAAATTAGGAAAAGGTTAAGTGTAGCGGATATCCTTACCAGTACAGTCATTGCACAGCGTGCACAGAGCAACAAACAGTAAATAGTAGTCCATCAATATGCTAGATCCTAACAATGGACTTCATTCCCACAGTATTATACAACAAAAGCCCTAATCTCACCAACACTGGGTGACCACTACAGATGCCAAGGATATGAAGAAATGAACTACTGAGAAGCACAAAAGAGAAGGACCAACAGAAAGCAGAGTACAAAGGAAGAGGAAAGTTGCAGATGTCACTCAGGGAGAGAAAGTCACTCTGAGGTTAGGAACTAAGTTTTGAAGAGCCGTGCTTAGCCTACCGATAGGGAGACAGAATAGTGGATCAATCCAGGCCAGTCTCACCCAAGCTGGTCAATGGTTAGGGAATTAACTATCGGCAAGATTATACCATGTTGAAAACACTCCAATTAAAATGTCTGGACTGCAGTGACCTTGGGTTTACAAGAGGAGAAAACTGCTGAAACTAGGTTGCAGTGAATAGAAAGATAATAATGCAAGACAATGAGATAGAAAAATATAGATAGAAAATAAATAAAAATTGACGACTAGGAAACCTATGAGTGAGCAAGAATAAAGTCAAATTAAAAAGGAAATAGCAGTAGCAAATAATGGATAGAATGAATGAAAATGAAGGAATGTGAAATATCTTTGTTTAGTATTTTGCATCAATGTTTATGAATGCTGGGGTCCTCAAGGAGGATGTAGAACAACCACAACTGGAGGTACCTATTCAAAGAAAGCTCTGTCACAAATTATAGAGTATTCTCAAGCCAATAAAGTGCCTTCAAAGTTTAGTTACTGTTGTGATGTCGGAAACATGGCATGAAATTGCGCACACCAAGATTCCACAAACAACAATGAGATAATTACTTCATTGCTTATTGTCCACCCTGGCATCTTTCATGACGTACTGGGAAGCATTTTAGAAAATATGTTTCATTTCTGCATTAAAAATATTCCATTTATAATTTACAACATACTAGAATACTAGAAGGTTATTTACTAGGAAGCTGACTAGCGTACACCTTTCATGATATACATTGATAATTTACCACATTTTCATTACACATTGTTGAAAATTGGTTTATCAATAAAGTAAAATAGCTTTATTCAGGGGTGGAAATAATCCAAACCCATTTTAAATAATAAACTGATTCTGAAACTAAGAAATGGTTCTGATTTTAAAGGTGTATATTAGTCAGCTTCCTAGTAAATTAACTTCTGGTAATTAACGGCTTTTTAAGAAAGGTGTCAATTAATTCCCCCGAGGCTAAAGAACAGCTTTAGAGAGTTTCCTCAAACGTTCACAAACTGGCACAATCAATAGAAACTCACCACGACGAGAAATTATGGCCAACACAGAACACAATATTTTCTGGACTAGCAAAGACCTTGGAAACTACACTAGGCTTAACTTGTGTTTGAAATTTCTTGATGAAATAGCAGTGCAATCACTAATCTCTAGAGTCCCCAACACTTAGGCCCTTCATGCATCTTCCATCATTGTGAATTTGGAAAAGAGCAAGTCATCAACTCTTTATGGAAACCAGAAAATTGGCAAATAAAGAGATTGCAGTGAATGTTGCATACATGGATTTTCATAACACGTTTACATTCCATATAACTTTTTATTACGCTTGATGCACATTATATCAGCAGAATTGTGGTGGATTTAAAGTGAATGGTTGGGGTAAGTCAGCATCTTTTCACATTGGCAATGTGTGTACAACGATCTGCAATCTGTGTTTTCATGAAGTTCTTTCATTGTCCATTTATGGAGAAATGATTTGGATGGAAGCACAAGCAGAGTAAGGAAGGCAAGTGAGACAACAAGGTGCAGAGCTGGATGAACACAGCAGGCTAAGTAGCATCAGAGGAGCAGGAAGGCTGACGCTTCGGGCCCAGACCCTTCCCCAGAAAATTTTGCTTGGCCTGCTGTGTTCATCCAGCCCTGCACCTTGTTGTCTCAGATTCTCCAGCATCTGCAGTTCCTACTATCTCTAAAGAAGGCAAGTGATGCTCAAATGTACATAGATTAGGCTACAGTTGGAGATTTGCAAGCAGATTATAGGAAGAAGATATGCAAAACCGGGTTAATGACTCTCACCAGGACTAATGAGGCAGTCAGAGTAGCTTCCTTCTGTTCTATAAGTCTACAATACAGAAATAGGAAAGACACATCATCTCAATTTACAAAGGATTTCCTACACAAAATACCTTATGTAGATCTGATCAACTCAGTGGCATTACATTGATTCTGCAACATTGCTTTGTGAAATATTTTCAGTGAGATGCACACTGTATCCTGATTAATGGACCATATTTTCCCAAACTAGCCCAATTACCACTCTATGTTCCAGTTATTGTGGTAATAATACTCTGAATGGCTAGAGCTTTACAAATGAATTCACAAAGCCAGGCTAAACCTTCGATGCTCCAATATGCAATGCATCTCATGTCTCTGAAACAGAACTGGTGGTCATGCATCTGCCGAAATTCTCTTGGTGGAGAGTCGACAGGCACTTCCTGATCTTGCACTAGCGAAGGCTAAAGACTGATTCTGCTGGTGTTTTGACTCGTCTGCACAGAAGGTCCAGGGAAAAAATATTGTCCTCATGGATTACAGGTGAAGCAGGAATGGGGGTGGTATGCTCTTCTACAGAGGTAAGAGATATGACAGTGTCCCCTCACAGATGCATTGTTCTTGCATTGTTCCTGGACAGAGTTTGACCTCACATCTCCAGAGCTGACAGTTAATGATGGAGATAAATGTCTTCAAGTGTGAATAACTATTTATATCTCACTAGATCTCAACTTAACTTTTCAGGAGTGAAATTTTGGACTAGATTTTCTTGTAGCTTGTGTCAACAAAAGTTTACCTCATCTGAAGTGACTGTGATAAATGTGAAGTGCAAATGCTTATCCAATCAGCCTTAAAATGTTTGGATAGCAACTTCTCAATTGCACCTTCAGGAGCTGTGTGAGAATATCCTGCTCATTTTAAACTGGAAGGTCAAATTTTCTTTGTTTCACTTAATGCAAAAGCACAAATGACAGGAGAACTAGAATCTGGAGGACATGATTTCAACATCCACAACATATTTTGGTTGTGTAATAGGAATGTGAAACTTTGGAGAATGATCAGGACATTCAGCCAGTCAAGGTTGCTGTACTATTCAATAAGATCACGGCTAATCCGGTGACGATCTTGACCCCATTTTCCTGTCTGTCTTCCATGGTCCTTAACTTCCTTGTCTATCAAAAACCTATCAAATTCAGCCTTAAATAAATTCAGTGATGGAGCCTCCACTATTTTCTGGGGAAATGAATTCCATAGATGAACAAAATCATTCTCATTTTAAAGGGAAATCTGTTACTCTTAACTGTGCTCTCTAGTTCAAGTCTCCCCAACGCTAGAGTAATCATCTTCCCAGTATCCCACCAATCAGTACCTCCAGCATTTCAAGTTCTGGTCCCAGCTGATGTTATTACTTGATAAATCAGATCTCAGGCTGAAACCTGGCTTGATAGATTTTTTGTTAATATATAAACAAGGTGATCTTTCACTGGAGCACAAGCACGCAATGCTGCAGATTTGCTTTTAATATTAAAACAGAAGTTTGTTACGCAAATGAAATGAAGATAAAATAGAATAAACCAAATTATTTACATATTACATAATTTGAAAGATTTCAAAAGACACAGTAAGGATACACCTATCCCAACAGCATCCCTTTACAATACTCAAACAGCAGAGAGAATTCCCTAGTCTACTATACCTATAAGCTTAAGATAACTGTTTCAGTTCCCTGTCTTGAGAGTTAGATAGTCTGTTCCATGACTATTTACACAACTGAGTTTAGACTTTGTCAGCTTCAAAAAACCCCTTCAGGTTTCTAACCAAACACATCCGATCTGGAATTTCAAATTAAATCGTCATAACTGCGGTAGCCCATTTCTAACTCTTTTGGAATAACTCATTGTTCTGGGAGAACTGTTTCATACATCTAACATTAATCAGAACATCTGAGAATTGAAATCAGAAGCTTTCTAAGTTATAGGCTTTTCCTTAAGCGAAAACAAAGAACCAATTCCCGATCTTACTAACTAAAAGCTAGCGAATGTTCCTCGATGGTTACTCTGTCAACTCTTAAAGACTGGTCAATGCAAACTGCAAACAAACTCTCATTACATCTCCAGAAGGGTTCTCTCATATACTGGCTTAAAAAAAAGGGCCAACAAAAATACTGACAATTCAATCATTGAAGGTCCTTATACACATAGACCAAAAGCCACATCCTACAAGTTCAAAATCCAAAAACAAAATTAAATTATAGTAAAACATATGTAAATCACACAATTTACATCACTTCATGTTCTAATAAGATCAATTCTGATTATTCCAAACTCCAATAGCTACAGGTCTAGTCTGTCCAACCCTTGCTTATAGGATAACACCCTCATGCAGGGAATGAGTCAAATGTACCTTCTCTGAACTGTTTCTAACACAATTCCATTCTTTTTCAAATACAGAGACTAAACCTGTACACAATATTCCGGATGTGGTCTCACCAAGGCTTTTTACAGTTGTAGTATAACCTCTCTATTTTTATATATCATTCCCCTTGCACTAAAAGCCATTTGCATTTAACTTGCTGTAACTGTAAAGTAATGTTTAGTGATTTGTGTACCAGGAAGGCTAGATTCCTCTGTACCTTAGATTTCTGCAATCTCTCTCCATTTAAATAATGTACTGCATTTCATTTTTCCTGCCAAAATGGACAAGTCACATTTTTCTACATTATACTTCCTGCCAAGTTTTTGCTGACTTACTTATTTATACACTTTTGGAGATGATCTACCTCCTCTTGACAACTTACTTTCCTACCTGTCTTGATGTTATCAGCAAATTTAGCTACCACCCAATCAGGCCCTGCATCCATGTAATCAATGGTGATTGTAAATAATGGAGTATCCAACATTAGTCCTTTTGACACACCACTAGTTACAGCTTGTCAATCTGAAGAAAGACCCATTTATCCCTATCCTCT